CCCTACACGACGCTCTTCCGATCTCCCCAAAACCCCAAAACCCCATGACACCTCAATAAGAAGAAAAGAGTTGAAGGAAATAGAAAATATGAATCAAGTTAAAATTTAGAAACCAAAATTAAATTAAGGAAATTCAATTAGAGCTAAATTACCACTTTACTCTATAATTAGAGGTTGACTATGGTTACTCATTCGCTAAGAAAAACTCAAATGCCTATGTAGACAATTTTCTTATGCTTTCAGAAACTCAATCTATATAGGGTTTATAGATTGATTCTTTTGAATATAGTGTCTGCTATTAGTTGATCCTAGAGAATACCTATTCATCTAAAAGCAAGGAAATTTGTAAATAGTTAGGATACTTAATTGTTATTATCAAGGAATTATACGGTATAGTTACTTATAATTATTCTTCTAGTACTATATTCATTTTTCACAAATCAGGGTTTTTGGTTTTCAATTTTAGAGTTTGTATTTATAATTATAAACTATTAAAACTTTAGCCTAACAATGAAAATTGTTCAAAGTAATGTCTGGATAGTTAAATGTTTTATTGGTTTTATATCAATGTGAATTAGCCTACACCTTGTTTCAATTCATCTAATAATCCAATCTAAGATGAAGTAATGGAGTAAATAATATTTATTTAGATTCATATTTTTAGGAATCAAGAATCGTCGTCAATGAGATTTTGATTAAACCTTTTCAGTACTATATTTTAATTGTATTTACATCTCTAATGATGATCAAATTAAAGCGATAATAAAACTAACTTTAATACTTTTCGACGTAACACCTATTCAGAGAAATTTGAATAAATAGTACACATAGTATATTGGGTGAAATGAATAGTACTAATTTAATAGAGGCGCTCTATAGCCATTTAATTAAAAAATAAAGTTACTAATTAAACGGTTTGATTAAACATATATATACGAAATATTATTTGCTTGGATAAGTATAGTAGATATTATAATTTTAAAAACTTAGAGCTCAAACTCATTTAACCTAGTCTCGCAAAAAGATAAACCATGATCAAAGTTAAAACACCAGAATGGATAGACTTCATTTAAAAATTAGAAGTCATCAAAACTAAATCTAATAGAGAAGTTCTTTGCATACATTGCTGGCAAATGCTTAATTGTAAATAAAAACTAAAACACCTCAGGAAAAATCCTGACCATGAAAAGTATCTCCTAACCTCAACTAAATATGCCAGTGAAAAGTAAATTCTATCTCTTGCTTAAACATAAAACAAGTATTATACGATGGAAGATGGAGACTATATTCTTCCGCCCTATGGGCCTTTAAATCGAGCAGATAGGAATTAACCACCTTAATCACTACTCTTGGGTGATCATTATATAAAATAATTACTTTAGCAAGATAATATTCTCGGACAAACTATGAAATCGGATATATCTCAATAATAATTAAATGAAACCCAAAACTACATTCACCATGGATTGTAATCCAATATGCATCATTAAGAATAGGTTAATTAGTCGCATCTGGATGAGAGAATCCATTAAATTAATTAGAAAATTGATTCTGTCATTAGAGTCCTTTAGATGCTTATTTAATAGGATCTGATAATAACATAAAACCTTAACCAATTAAACTAAAACTTTTAAGGTTTCGTGTAAATGCAAATTACAAATAGATAATCATCAATAAATAGTTCGATTCCACAATAAAATAATCCAAATAGTTAGCAGGTTCAAATTGGTTCATAGTTTCAACCTTTAAGTACATCACAAATTTTTTCGGCTCAAACCTAAGGGAACTATACAATCGGAGGAGGTAATAAAATAATATAAGTTTATTGATTTAGATAGAGTATAACCTATCAGTTCAAATTAAACTGATTGTAAACACTCCGATAGACAAGGCTTACTCCGAACTGGATTGTCTATCAATCCTCATTCAAGTAATTTCCCAAGCTATTAAATTTATAGGTGACTTAAATGTTATCTCCCAAAATCAAATCTAACAAAGTTAATATCCTCAGCTTGGTAAAGCTTTTCATTAAAATTAAAGTGCGTTACATAATAATTTGAGTACTAAATTAACAAATTTTAATGATACGTTTCCTTCCAATAATACAGCTTAGCATTAGCTGATAAATCATCAAGTATCATCGGTAAGCCAGGCTCAAGATGACAACAACAAATTCAAGGCTACCTTCTAAATGATAGGAAATATTTTTGGCCCTTAAAAATTAAACAATCTCAATCAAGAAAACTTTGGAAATAATGAAATTAATAATTTAGTGACAAACAATAATAATTTTTGTTCTGGAGTTAATAATAATTTGAGAGCCAATGAAGAAGTTAGAAATGAATTCCAAGGCATGAATCAATTCCAGAATATATATGTAAGCATTCTTTGACTTAAAAATATAGTAGACCAAAGTTTGACAAGATCATTCTCAGAGTAGAGAATTGGCATGAGGAATTAGAGTGCTGGGTTCTCTATATTATAATAGGTTCTAGTCATGACAATATTATTAAAAAAATATACTTATCATAATAATGATTTAATAATTTTTTAACCATGCATAAAAATACTTTCATCTTTCATAATGTTATTTCGATTAAGGGGGTTTTGGGGTTTTGGGG